CTCGGAGAGACCTTTTCTGAGTTTACCAGCCCTTTGTGCTCCCACCCCCCTACGCCACCAGATTCTGAAGGCAACAACCAGCCACCTTGCCAGCTTCCGCTCTGCCCACACCCTGCACTCTGAGCTTTGGGCTGCTGGTAACTTAGCCTCACACTAAAGGGTGTGCTTTTAGTGGGGGAAATGAGGCTACCAAGGGGTGAAGAGATCCTCCAGAACCTTATTGACAGCAAGCAACTGAAGAGACCGGGGCACGGGCACCCGGGTCTGCCCGCCATCTAGCCCGCTCTCTTCATCACGTGGCAAGGCCCCCGGGGGATGAAGTCGGACTTGCTGTTGCTCAGCCACACTTCATTTCAGACCTCAGGCTGCTTAGAGACTGAGGGGGACTCAGTGTACTGTGTTCCTGTTCACAAATCTCCATCCCGTCTCAGGCTCTCGAGTAGGGTGGGTCCTAGAGTCAAGGGTTAAGCGGAGCCCTTCTTCACGGCAGTTCCCATTCTAGAGCCCTGGCCGTGCTCCGAAGGCCCTTCTCGCCAACCAGTACCTCACTGACAGTCTCTAACAGATTGAGACCCAGCCCTCAATCACACCCCAGAAACAATCCTAGAAGGCCCGAGCTGTGTCACCAGCCTCCTGCTTGACAGTGCTTCCCTAAAGACACTGGGTCACTCCTAGGGTGCAGGGTTCTTCTCCTGCCGGCCCCTGTGCTGGCTTCTTCTAAGTACTCCCTGTGCTCCCCTACACTGAGGTAAGACTAGATCACATCTCCCAGATGGAGTTCTCCTGAGGTCTGTACAATATGTAGAGATACAAATGTGTGTGTGTGTGTATGCATGCACACTTGTTTGTATACATGTGTGTGTGCATGTTTACATGTGTGTGGAGGCCAAAGGCCAACATCGGGTGTCTTCCTCAATTGCTTCTCTACCTTAATTTTTGAGACGGGAACTCTCACACTGAGCCTGGAGCTCACCGATTGGCTAGACTGACTAGTCCGCAAGTCCCAGGGACCTTCCTGTTTCCACTTCCCCGGTGCTGGGATCACAGGCTTGAGGCACTGCATCTGGCTTTTTACGTAGATGCTAAGAATCAGAATTTGGGTCCTCAAGCTTGCATGTAAGCTTTACACACTGAACCATCTCCCCAGCCCCTGAGCCATCTCTTTGTTTGTTTGTTTGTGTTCTGAGACAGGGCTTTTCCGTGTAGTTTTGGTGCCTGTTTTGGATCTCATCTGTAGACCAGGCTGGCCTCGAACTCACAGAGATCTGCCTGGCTCTGTGCTAGAATTAAAGGCATGCACCACCGGTGGCTGAGCCATTTCTTAAGACAGAAGCCGATTAGGAAACTATGGGACAAAGAGCAGCTGGCACACCAGTGTCACATGAATGTCTCTGTGATTAGGTCTATCTCACTGCTGCCAGGGTCCCTGCCCAAATGTGATTCAGTCTCTCCCGGGAGATCCATGTTCTTTCCCCCACTTTCCCCTACAACTCAGAGTTCTGTGCCCTCTTCAGGAGGTGACCTATCCTCGCCCCTTTACCCAGATCCTTCCCTGTCCAGAGGTTCATGTCAAAGCCAGCCGACAGCTAACCACACAGATGAAACCACTTTTATGAATGATCTTCTCTTAAGATTTAAAAACAACTCCATTTCAATCAATTTACACATTCCAAAAATGTTTCCCATCTGTTGTCTCATTTAATCTATCAAAAGTTATCGGGTGGGTTGAAGATAATGCAACCATTGCAGAGCTACAGGGAAAAGAAAAACATTTCTGGCGTATTCTGAGCTCTCTCTCTGCCTAAGCTTGACAGTGTGCCAAGCACTTTCCACCAGCAAAATGCCCCGAATTCTTCAAAATCTACAGTTACAACCTCCATTCTCTAGAGGAGAAAACCAACAAAGGTATTTTAAAGTGAGTGTATCCATTGTCCTTGAACCAATAATCAAAGGTATGATTCAATCCCTGAACCCAAACTTCAATTAACCACAAAACTCCCAATTACAGAGGCCTAAAGAGATTTGTTCTGGTCCTCCACAGAAATGATTCTTGTATTTTCTATGACAAAATCCCTGAGGCTGGGTACTTTTCAACAAAAAGAGGCTCTTGTAACTTGTAGTTTGAAGGCTGAATATTCAAGATAAAGAAACCCCATTGGTACAGTCTCTGATGATGGCCTCATGGTAAATGCAGGATAATGGCTAGAATTTGTGCAAAACAATCACATAATAATAATACAGGAAGCCAGATCCAGGGCTCAGAAATCTCATTTTTTCTGTTCTTGCAGGAACTAATCAAGGTCCTTCCTGCAATAACTGCATTAATCCCTTCCCGAGTTGCACCCCTATAACCTAATCACCTTCCACTTGGCCCCTCCTCTTAAAAGTTCTACCACCACACTGGAGACCAAGCTTCCAGAGCACTGATCTTCGCAGGACACATTCACACTACACCCAAACTGTAGTGTTCCGTAGGTCTTAGTGAGTACATAATCATTACCTGATCTCTGTTTTGAAATAAAGCAATGATATTTTAATTCTACAATCTGAGGAATAGCCTGAGATATCTAACAAGTTCCTAAATGATGTTAATGCTGCTCAGCCAATGAGTGCGCACTGAGTAGTCAAGGCTACGCTGCATTGGCTCCTCAAAGTACCCGCCCCCTTCTCCATGGGGGTCTTCACAGGTATCCAGATTCAGTTAAGCAAGACCCACACCTGTTACAGCACTGGACAGAAAACTCAGATCAAGTTTTTGCTCAAGACAAAGAAAAAAAGAGAAAAGGAAAGGAGAGAGAGACAGAGACAGAGAGACAGAGAGAGAGGGAGAGAGAGAGAGAGAGAGAGAGAGAGAGAAAGGGAAGGGAAGGGAAAGGAAGGAAAGAAAAAAGAAAAGGGCAGTATACCGACTGATAGTCAAGTAGTCCTGAACCCAGATTCCCTTCTTTATAACTGCTCAGCTTGGTGTTTCACATTGGCTTCACTTCCGGGTCAACATAATAAGGCAAAGTCTGCTAGAAGAATGAAGACACAGTGGGATGTCCTGAACAAATTGGAGCTTGGACCAGTGAACCAAAGTCGAGGCAAGAAAAGATTATAATAAAGTCTGCTAGACATGGCCCCCGAGAGCCTCCAAGTGCTTTCTCCAGCACGAGGACATTCCAGGTGCCTCCCTTTCCCTCACCTGACCAGGATGTCCTTGACGTCCGAGCTGAACAGCAATGTCAAGGCTGTGGGGCAGGTTGAAGACACTCAGCCAAGGAGTGGAAAGATGGGAAATCGGGTCTGCCAGGTTATTCCCAAACTGGAAGCAGAGATCCCCTGGGCCATAACTGGGGTGCGTGGATCAAAGCAGGTACTAGACAAAAGCAGGTGGGGTCCAACAAGACAATCAGAGGTGCTTCTCGCCCTTCCGAGAAGGTGTGTCCTCAACCTCACTGAGGAAGCAGGTGCTTGGCTCACAAGCCTGCTGGCAAGCACACTGTGCAGATGGAAGGCTGAGAGCATCCCCCACATCCAGCCCCCTCCTTAGAACCCTCAGAATGCAGAGCAAGCAGCAGGCCTACCTGTGCATCCCTCTTGCCCAAAGTGCACACAATCTGGCTGCATCTCACATCTCAAGCGATCCTACAACTTGTGGTGTGTGTGTGTGTGTGTGTGTGTGTGTGTGTGTGTGTGTGTGTGTGTGTGTTATACATGTGGGAGAATGAACACCTATGTTTGCATGTATGGCAGTCATAGGAGGCTGTTGGGCATCCTGCTGTACCAGTCTCTGCCTTATTCTGTTGAAACTGGGTCTCTCACTGATTGTGGAGCTAAGATCAGGTGTCCATCAAGCCCCGGCCATCTTCTTATTTCTCCCACCTGACTATACCCCAAGTTATGAGTATGCATGAGGTCACATCCAACTTTTATTTGAGTGCTGGGATTCAAACCCAGTTCCTCATGCATGCATAACAAGCTCTCTGACTCACAGAGGCGTTTCCACAGTCCCCCTTCCTTGTTTCGATGGGTCACATCCAACCTCATCCTATGCCAGAATCTTCCTGACTCACCCTACTCCTGCCACACTGGATTTCTCTGTCACTTTCAGTGTGTTGATCCACCTGCCTGGCACTGCCCTGGTCCCAGCCACCACCATCTCTTACTTGGATCACTGGAAAGTAGGAGCCAGGGGGACTTCTGCTCAGATAAGATCCATTTGGTCATCCCTCTGTAAGAAAGAGGCAAGGACTCCTGTGTAGGCTAGAGCCACGTCTTTTCCTTTTGTAACTTTCTTACTGGTATGTATTGCATGCTAAGCATCCCTCCCCCTCTGTGTCCTCCCCATCCTATCTTTTCTCCCCTTCTCCCCTCCCACTATGCCCCTTCTTTTCCCTAGACAACCTCACACCTGCTTTATAGATACATACATGATTTTATGTATAGGAACCACGAATGAGAGGAAACATACTCGTCACTACGAGACTGGCTTCACTCTCTTCATACGACTGTCTCCTGACCTCTCCTATTTCTTGGCACTGACATAACTCTTTAAATTCTTCTTAAAGCTACAGCCTTCCCAATGGTCGACAAGGCTTGACAGGCTCTGACTTCTCTCGCTTTTATTCTTGGCCTCCCTTCCTTCTCTTTTCTTATTCACTCCCATCCAGCCACACTAGCCTTGTACCATTCCCTTCCTCAAATGCATTGACCTTTGCATGTGATATTTTTCCTCTGCCGGGTCTGCTCCCTCCTTCACATGCTTCTTAATTCCTTGCTCACATTTCATCTTCATAATGAGGGCTCCCTGAGCAACCTGTTTAAAGTTGCAACCCAAGCCCAAAGCTCAATGCCCTTTACTTAATATTTGTATAACAATAAATTACCTTCGAACATGCTGTGTGCTTAATGTGAATGCTATGTCTATTGTTTATTGTTCTACACTGCCTCAGCTACAAAGTGAACTTCAAGAGCATATGGATTCTTATCTTGTTCAATAATACATTCCAGACATTTAGTAGATACCTAATAACTGTTTATTGATTAAATAAATGAACATGTGAAATACATCATCACTGTAGACAAGACTAAATACACAATAAATATTTGTTATTTAAATATCAGTGCAGTATTGATCCATAGGCTAGATGCAGAAATATGGTGCTCAGCCTGAGCCTGAGGACTCATAAGGATGTGCAGGAAGCGCCAAGTCCCGTGCTCACTTCAACCATTATGTTCTCCATCTGATTAGTCAGGGTTCTGCAGAGAAATAGAATAGAAATCCATTAAATGTGTGTGTGGGGGGAGAGATGGAGGGAGGGAGGGAGGGAGGGAGGGAGAGAGAGAGAGAGAGAGAGAGAGAGAGAGAGAATAAGGAACTGAATCATCACAGTACAATGGAAGCTGAGAAGTCCCAGGATCTGCTACAGGAGACCCAGAAGACATGATATGCAATCGGCATCATTCTGAAAGCCTGAGGAAGGGAAGAGTTGTCGGAAAGTTCTGCCTGACACTGGCAGGCTGAGACCCAAGAGCTGATGTTTGAGCTCGTCCCAGCACAAGCAGTCAGGAGAGAAGCCCCTGCTATTCTGCTCTATTTAGACTTCAGCCAAATGGATGAGGGCCACCCACATGGGAGAGGACTAACTAGCTTCCAATTCTCGTCTAAAAACACCTCCACAAACAGAGATGGTGTTTGATCCAGAATGGTGTTTGATAGATATCTGAGCACCCAGTTGCCCAAAGTTGATACATAAAAGTAACTGCACAGCCCTCTTGGGTTTCCACATCTTCTCTTTTCATACACCAACATCCAGTTAAGCAACAAAGCCCTGCCAAGAACCATGTCTCCATAGCTCATTAGTCTCAACTCGGAGTTCTGCACCATTTTAAAAATGGCAACCTCAGGTTCTCTCTGGACAAATGCCCAAGTGTTACCTTGTATGTATTTTCCCTGAGCTGCCCTGATAACCTGTTTTATTGATTGGTTTCTCTCCTCTGCCAGAACCCTGTCCTTCCCAGACACACTCCACCTACTCCTCCTGGGACTCTAAAAGCTGTGAGACAGCCATGTTGCCTGACAACCACTTCACCACCAAGTTATCAGGGACAGAATTCAGTAAACAGGAAGCCACATATGAAAACACTGAGTCAGAGATGACACACAAAAGCCGAGGTTGCCAGAGTTGTCTGAGTTCCAATCTGCATGAAGGTCCTTCATAGTCACCAAGTACAAGAGCCCCGGTTCTCAGGTCCTACATCCCCTTGGCTTCGAACGACATTTGCTACTGTGCACTTTAGCCCACCACATGCTTTAGCCCTCTGTCAATTCTGTTCTTCCCAAGGCCATCCTCCAAAGCCTCACGGGATCCTTGCCGGTTGGAAAAAGCGAGGAGAGTGTTTTGTTTGCTGTGCACAATGCTGTCATGGCCACTTTGCAGGCCAGACCCTTACCTTCCTTGGTGTGTTGACTGCAGTACTCGCCGGAGTATGCATTTGAGAATCCTCTGGGTTAGCTATGCCAATGGATAACAGCCTCCCGGTGATGATGCTCAAAGGCAAAACATCTGTGAGCCAGCAAGAGGGGTCATCCTGGTATCTCTTTATGATTGGATCCAATCACACACAGTGTCCCTAGCTGGCCCTGACATCTTCTGCCAGCACTGATTCATCTTCTTTGATGCTTCCGAGTGTTAGCAGCAAGTGCTCCTTCAAGCTTCATTATTCTCTATGTGATACCGGCATAGTTCATACAATCTAGCTCACTCGCATCTAAGTAGACGTGTGCTCTAAGTAGACGCCACTATGTTCTGGGTATTTGTTCCCTATGAATTTCACATTGCAACTTAGTCCGTGAAGTATACATTAGTGGATCTGTAAGCAGGGCATTTGGGGTGTAATTAGGATTAGATGAGATCGTAAGAATGGAGCCTTGATGATGACATCAGTGGCTTTATAAGCAGATTCAAGTTAGCTACTTGTTATCTCTCCAGGAGAAACCCTGCACCACCTGGGGACTCTGTGCCCACCAATGCAAGCTCTTCCCTGAATGTGCTCTCTCCATCTTGGACCACCAGCCTCCAGAACCATGAGCCAAATAAACCTTTATGCTTTATTAATTACTCGGTGTATGGTATTCAGTTGTAGCAGTAGAAGAAGGACTGAGAGAGATGTTCTCTGAGAATGGGGCATGAAGCTGCTAGAGGCTTCCAGCAGGCAGAATAAAGACTTTATTTTAGACAATAAATGTCACTTGAAGTTAAGGAACATTTTAATGAAGAGAAAGGGGTTTGAGCACCTGTTACATATTAATTATTGTAGTTTATTTATTGATTGCTCACTGTGCATAAGACATCATTCTGTATGCTTCTTGTGTATCCCTACATATTGAATAATTATCAAGAAAGAACGTTGTGATTAACACTCTCTTGACAGATGGGAGAAATGAGGCACATGGGTGTTCCATACAGCCATAAAGGGGCTTTGGGAGACCAGGCAGACCTACAGGGTTGACACAAAGGCCAGTATGAGATAAATGTCACAAGAGAAGCAAGGAGAGCATATGTTTCCCTCCGTCAGAACCTGCCCACACGCCTCACTAACACGAAGAACTCAGTGTGACCTTCAAGATGTAACTTCAGACCTTGCTCTGCTGGAGAAGTCTCCCTAACCAAGCTCTGTCCCTAGCAGGGCTGGGCACACCCTTTTTGACTTGTCCTGACAGGAGAGTAACACTGGTCCAGTCACACAGCCCTAAGTAGCCTGCGCTTCTGTATCTCACTCTCACTGGGCTGGAAACTCCTAGAAGGTAGGGACCATTTGGGCTTCCAAGGTCTTTCCAACACTGTGTGGGGCACTTCAGTGCTCAATAAACCCTCCTGATGCTGCTGCTGCCTCCTTCATACCTCAGACCTTGCCGGACAAAACCCACTTATACCTCGGGGACTGCCAGAGGACTGAGTGACAAAGGACGGTGGCTAAACCCCGGGGGAATATTCCTGGCAGGAGAATCTACTGCAGGGTGAAGCTACACACTGCAGTTAATTCTCCATGCAACCTTGAGAAGAGTCCTTCCCCAAGGGCCCTCCTCTCCATCAGCAAAACTATCTCCATGGACCTGAGACTCCTAATATCTGTGCTGGGCACATGCTTCACCTAAACATGCCAAACATGTCACTTTCCCCATAATTCAGGATCTTGATATAACAGACAGAGCAAAATACCATGGAGAAACAATATTCCTTTTCCCATTCCTAAAAGGTCTGTCATTTTTCTCCACTTCTAATCATTTTCCCTCATTTTGAACGTTGAGTTTCAAGAGTGAATAAATTACATCATCTCCAAGTTGCCAACAACGTAGATTTCATAGGGACCAGCAAAAGAGGGAGCAGCAGTCCTTCTCATCTACCCTAGGAAACTCCCTTACCTTTCAAAGTAACATGGGCTCTTGACCATTGAAAGTCGCCCTGGAACACAGCCTGCCTTCATATCAACCTTGCCTGTTTCTCTGCTCAGTGTTCATGTTGGGATTCTCTGAGGACAGTCATTCCTGTTTGGAGAACCCTGAGATAAGCTATTTGCCCTCTCAGCAGAGAGTGTGCTACTCTATGGCTTAATGGGGCAATGGGCCCCTTGAATCCTGGCTGGGGAACTAATGGAGTTGAAAGGAAACTTAAACCACACAGACACAGTAAAGGCGATTGAGACTCCTTTATAGTAAAAGACAGAAGCACCGACTCATTCTGGCTAAGGCTGAGAAAATTGTTTTGTTGCTGGGTCCAGTTTGCTTTGCTTAAGAAGTCCAGAATGTAAGAGATGCCTACTGACGTCAGGAACGGCTGGATCTAGGTGCTTAAAGAAAACTCCCTAGGAGTTTGCCTCTCTCCTTTTCTGAACAGATCTTTTTCATCCGTGTGTCAATTTGCTCTCAAGTAAACCTTTCCCAAGCTGTGAATTCACCCCAGCAGTTAATTCCAGAAGAAGATTCTGTCTCTCTGGGTCACACAAAAGTCTCAGCAATGACTCCTGCTGTGTCCCTTAAGCCATATGTCCATTCCACAGCCATTCTTACAGCCTTGAAGTAGAATACATTAGCAGGCCAGGGTAGGCTATGAGGAACTGTGGCTGATGTTTCCCTCCATGCTTCCTCATTACCTGAGGATGAGGAGGTAGCTTCCCAGTGGAAATATTAACTCTGAAATCATTAACTCCAAAATCTGAGAGCAGCCAGGGGAGGCTGCAAAGTGAGCAGCAGCGGGCAGATAGAGGGCTGAGGCCGGGTGCAAAGTACTCCTGGATGGGCTGAGTCATCTGCATCCTCCCTGGCCTCTCTGGACCTGAACCGGCAGAGCCAGAAACCAGGAGGTGGGTGTGTGGTGGACTGAGAATGCTGGAATTGTTTTACAGTTCTGACTCAAGAAGGAAGAAAGGGCTGGAGGGAGCAATGGTGGGTGGGTAGAGAGGTGCAGAGGGTTTGGAAGAAATTGGTGAAAGGAAAGATGATTAAAATATATAGTATGAATTTTTTTTCAATAAATAAATAAATAAAATCAAAAGGCATTTCCAAACAAAAAATAGGACAGGAAAGTCTGGTTTTAGATACGAATAAATCAAAGATCTTCAACAAATAGATAGCTCTTCTGAGTAGCCATAGGAATACTCTCTCCAACAAGAGGGAGCGCACATTCTTTTTAAGGGCACATTAAGAACAAACCAATGAAGCCACAGCCATGGATCCTGGAACACACACAAACCAATTCAGAATAACAACTGCACAAAATTCATTCCAAACTGCAGTAGAGTTTAATTGAATATTAGTAGGAAAATTTCCAAACACTAACTAACATATCAAACAGTATACCTCTGGGATATTTAAAACTGGAAGAAAAAAAAAGACTTTCAAAAGAAATTAGGGAATACCTGAAGTAAATTTAAATCAGCATATAGCATTCCCAAATTAGTAGACCACATCTAAAACCTGGAGGGAGGCTATCATGTTAGAGGTGTGTGTTAGGAAGATGAAATGTCAGTGTTCAGAGAGTCTACGAGAAATTAGAAAAGAACAAAATTGACCCAAAGAAATCAGGAAGAGAGAACACAGTGTGGGGCTGAAGAGGAAGCTCAGCAGTTGGGAGCTCTTCCAGAGGACCTGAGTTCGGTTCCTAGCACCTAGATCAAGTGCTCACAACCACCTGTAACTCCAGTGCCAGAGATCACTGGCCTCCATGGACACCCACACATATGACAGACACATAAATGAA